TTGAACTCAGAACCTCTGGAAGAGCAGCCAGTGCTCTTAACCTCTGAGCCATCTCTCCAGCCCCTTGAGTGATAATTCTATTACAAGTTGACAACAAGTCTAACATCTGCTTCACAAAAGGTGAATGCATGCCATATGAGACTATCGCTTCTTTGAATCTCCTTAAATATAACATTTCCACAGGAGCTCATTCAGTTCTTACAGAACCTTGGGATATCTATCATTTGGCAGTTGTTTCTGTAAGGTGACTGAATAAATTAAAGTTTGTTTGTTTGAAAAGTATAAGCTGTTCCTTTCTAACTTTATAAATGCAACACTGAAATTGGTTCTCCTTTAAATTCCTCTGTACCTGACTATCTCTATGATCTGTTTTAATAAGTTTTTCTAAAACTTGTATCCTAGCGCACACATTAACCAACATTTTTTAGTGATAAAAATGATAAAACTGATAGTGTTTATAATTGACATTACAGAAATCCCATCTAAATTAGTTACCCTCTCATTTAGTTGTTCCATTTTCAAACCATCCAGCATATTATCATACAGAGACCTAACTACCTCCATTGTAATAGTGTTCTCCATTTTAATCTAATTTTAATGTGGGGGAAAAAACTCTTTTTAAACTCCCTTTAAGAATTCCCAAGCTGGGAGGTGGTGGCAAGTGCCTTTAATCCCAGCATTCAGGAGGCAGAGGCAGGCGGATCTCTGTGAGTTTGCGGTCAGCCTGGTCTACAAGAGCTAGTTCCAGGACAGGCTCCAAAACTACAGAGAAACCCTGTCTTGAAGAAAAACAAAACAAAACAATTCCCTGTTGTCTCACCAAGTCTGCCAACGGTGATGATTCAGATGAAGGTCGAGTGTGAGGCTGATTGCTGTGGCATAGAGCAGCAGAAGCTCGAATAAGTTTCAAGGCAGCAGCCCCAGGAGGGGGTCCAGGGAGATCCTGGAACCCACAGAGTGTAACGAAGCCAAAGAGCCAGCATCTGCATGGAGGAATGCGTGAAAGCGGCCAACTCCTGCAGCATTTGGAACCCAAACACCTGCGGAGTTTGCTGCAGAGAGACCGCAACAGAAAAAATCAAACTCGCTCAGAGGGCTTGGGGAGAAGAGGAAAGGAAAACATAGCCAGTGGGGCGGTGACTCTGCTCGTTTAGCTCTGGCCTGTGCTGAGGCTGTAAAGCCACACAGGCAAGTGGATTTTTCGTGAATTCATGACCTAATGTTGGACACCAGATGTAGTGTGAATTCTAATTGGTCTTTTTTTGTTTGTTTGTTTGTTTGTTTGTTTGTTTCCAGACAGGGTTTCTCTGTGGTTTTGGAGCCTGTCCTGGAACTAGCGCTTGTAGACCAGGCTGGCCTCGAACTCACAAAGATCTGCCTGCCTCTGCCTCCAGAGTGCTGGGATTAAAGGCATGAGCCACCACCGCCCGGCTTCTAATTGGTCTTAATAATAAAAACCCAGGGTCAGATATAGGATAAATGCTGAAAGATCAGAGAAGGAGAGCAACCAGCCATTAGAGTTCTTACCTGTGAAATCTACAGACTGAAAAGAGCCTGAGCTACTGTTTCCTCCTGCCTATTCCTCTCTCCCGTCCAGCCACATCACATACTGTCTGTCTGTACAGACCTCCGGACCTCTATGGTTAACAAATGGCTAGCTCCTTCCCCTGATCTTCAGGCAGGCTTTCTTTGTTAGAGTACAAACAAGATATCAGCACTCACAGAAGCATGGTGAAAGGCTTTAAAGGGTCATGGTGTTGGGAAGGTTGAGAACCACCGGCCTGCGCTGTCAGTCCTTAGGTGAACCCAAGGTGCCCCGCATCTATTTACGTGGGACGCATTCTGACTGCAAGTCTCAGATCTAAGGCTTTCACCTTAGTCCTTTCTGTCTTGGAGGTGTGACTGCCAGGGGCCACATGGGATGTCTGTAGCTTTAATATACAGCCGAGCTGCTTGGATATGAGCAGGCTTGCAGATAATCAAAGCGTGGCTCGAGGTAGGAAATGGATGTGAGAATCCCAGGCAGGGCAGGCAAGCCATCTGTGTGCTAATGTGGCAATTTCATCCTTGGACTTAAGGTCAAGATTGATTTAGTTAAAAATATTATTCTGCAATGTAATAGCTGCCTTCAGATTGGATTGTGGGGGATTCTGGAGGACGTGTGAGTGTGGGGTGTGGACGACCCAGATAGCTGAAGTAAGAACTGCTTCAAGGCAGGGTGTGATGGCTCACAACTCACAATATTTTCCTCTCATACATAGGAAAATACTTTTGCTGGTCGGCTGCATATATTTTGGCAATTTTGAGAAATAGCATGGTTTTTAAAAAACACTTTTTATTATAGAAAATGTCAAATATTCCCTAACTTATCCATAGCTCAACTTCTAACTTTTTTTTTTTTTTTTTGACTTTATGATGCTGTGAAAACAATACCTGCCAGCGGAAACCTTGCTTGGAAATAGAAACTCGGATCCTTTCCCTGGTCATTGCTATGCTCTCTAATCCTTGCCAGCCGCGCCTGTGGGTCCCAGTTCACCCACCAACCACAAGGGGACAAGGCTCCACATTGCGGACCTAGGCCGTGGGGTTGGGGAGATGAACTCAGCCACTTTCAACTTGACAATATGGACAATTTAAAGTAGTTTTAGCAGGGCCATCCTGAGTCAAGGAGCAGTTACACTGAGTTCGGCTAAAGTTGGTCGGCTTCCTCTGTAGCGAGCCAGAGCACATGCTTAGGTTTCTCAAGCCACGTGCCTCTGTCTCTGTGATTCAGCTCCGCTGTTCCAGCATAGACACAACACCAGACAGGACCAGCACGGACAGATCGAAGTGCATTCTTACTTTTCCCCTTGAGACAGGTTTTTCTGTAGCTTTGGAGTCCTGGAACTAGCTCTTGTAGACCAGGCTGGCCTTGAACTCATAGACCTGCATCTGCCTCCCGAGTGCTGGGATTAAAGGTGTGTGTCACTACTGTCCAGCCAAGTTTTTTTTTTCCTTAATCTTTGAAACATTTGTCTCTTTCACAATTTTGACCTCTTGGGGCTGGATCTCTGGAAGTGCCATTGGGGTCTTAAAGGGTAGATGCATATGTGACTTTGCTTGTTGCTGCTAAATCCCCCTCAATAGGTGTCACATCATTGTTGTGGGTTGAATAAGAAATGTCCCCGTAGGCGGACATTTGAACACTTGGTTCTCGGTGAGAGGTGCTGTTTGGGGAGGTGGTGTGGCCTTGATAGAGAAAGTACGCTGGACTCTGAGAGTTCAGAGCCTCGCCCTATTTCTAGTTTGATATCTGTTTGTCAGGGTTGAAGATGCTGCCTGTATGCGGCCACGCCTCCCCACCACGCTGGCTGTAAGCTGCCGCACTCCCATCCATGCTGAGCTCTTACCCCAGAACTGTAAATGCAGGTAAACCCTCTCCCTAAGTGGCCTTAGGTCATCGTGTCTTGTCACAGCAGCAGCAAAGGAACCAACACAGCCATTTTGCACTTGACTGGAAGATGAGACTCTGAAGGCTTGATTCTTAAGTTTGGTCTCATTAAGTGTTTTTCTGAAAACATATCTGGTTTGTCTTGGCAGCGTAGTGCTCACTCGGGTAAGATTCCTTCCTCTTCTTCATAGGCCATGGCACAGCTCGAATGTGATTTTTTCCCCACTAAAAGGTTCATGCTGACTCTTTTCCTCGAGGCGACAGTGTTAGAGGTGATGAGGCTAAGCTCTGAAAGCGAGCTCAGCTCTCTGTCTTTCTTGCTTCCACTGTTGCGCGGGTGTTTGGTCTTTGCCGTGTGTCTGCTTCTGCTAGCTTGTGACACACAGCAAGGCTCTTACCACAAGCCGAGAACGCCAAGAAGATGGGGGCCTCTGCTCTTGAACTTCTCCGTCTTCAAACACACCACCAAAATTAGCTACTTTTTTAAAATTTATAAAATGTTTGACCTTAGGTCTCTTGTTACAGCAAGAGCAAACCTGCTAAGGCAGACAGGGAGATCGAGGACCCCAAGACCTCAAATGCCCTGCTTCATGTTGGTATGTTGGTGCCACGCTCAGCCCAGGAGGACCCTTGAGCCGGTCCCAGTGTCCTGCTTTGGGTATTTCCAGTGTGGCTCTCCACCTTCTGGTCTTGATTTTGTTTTTCGGATGCATTTGCTTTTCTCGCAGCCTGAGGGTGAGAGCTGGTTCTGGCAGAGTCCCCTGACCGTTTGTGGTCACTTTTTTAACGCATGGCACTGGGCCAGAGGCAGGCGTGTGACAGTGAGGATGTTGCGTGGTCCTGTGTGAACCACAGCAGAGCTTCAGTCCCCAGGGAGGCTCTTCAACGAGCGGGCATTGACTGTGATGGGTAGGTAGTAGGGTGGCCTAGGGGTGCTGGGTCCATCCAGAGGGGAGGCTTAAAGAGGAAGAGAAGTCAAAGGGTTTCCCAGAAGATGTCATCACTAAACTGAGCCCTGAGAGTAAAATTGGGACCCATGTAGAAGGCCATTGAAAAAGAGACTCTAGAGAAAAACTGGTCCAAGAATCTAGAGGCAAAATAGTTCACATAGAACATGAAGAAATGGAGTTTCTGGGGTCTTAGGCTCCACTGGTTAAGATCAAAACTGTAGAAAAACGTACTTCTAAAGTGTTGTCTGTGGGATGGATCCGTTTAGAACTATAAATCCCTACACGCTGGGCTCCTTCCACCAGCACACTCTGGACACTAGGGAAGGCATGTCCACCTCTAAATTTCCTTCTTCTCCCAGGGGTTGCCAGTCCTGGCGGGTCAGCATTGGGAATGTCACCTTGCCAGGTAAGGGCAGCCTGGAAATATGCACAGTATGGAAATATCAAAAGGTGATATGATTATAAAAACATTCAATTGGGGGCCTGCCTCCTGGAAGACAGAGGAAAGAAGACAGAGCTCCTAAGTGTGCTGGAGAACCTGAATCTGCAGTTGTTGGCTATGCCAGAAAGTCAGCTGGCAAGTTAATGGGCTGATAATCACTGTTCTCCTCTGTCAACAGGTTCTCGGGGTGCAGGCAAACGGAAACCCAGATCTCTGCTCGGAGATCAAACACACCCTGGACATGCCTGAAAGGGGTCAGAAAAATTAAATGAGATAAATGAGCAGAGAGGACTGAGTGAATGTCTTTGATTTGTGCAAGAGAGCCATAAAAATAAAATCTCTGGGGCCATTTCATCTTACATCAGAAACCAAGCTTGCCTCCCACTACACAGGGTCAGCATGGAGTCTCTCTCAAATGTTCAAGAAAGGGGGCTGAAGGCCCGGGCACATGAAAGCAGATTTGACTGAACCTGTGATGAATGGCTTTCAGAACATTGGATCCTGGTGCTATGAGCGTGCCTAACAAAGCCTTTTCCCTCGCGTGTCCCAGCTGTAGGACAATAGCCCCAACTGGAGCTGTTACATTGGGGGTGCCTTGCACGGAAAACAAATGAGTTTGGAGAGAACACTCTGAGATGGACTGACTTCTGTTGGCACCACATTTCAGAAAAGCCCAAGGCTTTTTATTCCCCCTCCTTTTCTCCTTGGGCTAGCTGGCCCATATGGGTGACACCGATGACAACGACGAATTCCACATTTGTATCCATAGCCCATGCTCTCCTCTGCATGTCCCCAAAGTCTGCTCCACATCACCACTTGAATATCTCACTGACCTCCTGTTTGTCCTCTGAGTTGCTTCTGGTGAAAGGCCCTACCTTCAACAACTTAAGTCAAAAATGTAACAGTTCCAATGACACCCCTGTTTGCCATAAACTTTCTCACTCCCAGAACTTGGATTTTTTTGTTGTTGTTGTTGTCATTTTTTGTTTTGTTTTGTTTTGTTTTGTTTTGTCTCTGATGTCATTTTCGCATCCACCCTCTTATTCCCACCAGCTCCCCCATCCCAGGCTCACGCCCATCCTCTCATGCTAAGTTAGCTTCTTCGTTGTTCTCCCTGCCTTCCTCTGCATTTCAGCTCTGAGCTCAGCCTGCCTCGTGAGTGCAATACTCATCGACGCCCTTGTCCCATTCCCTGTTGGATCTCACGAACTAGCCTGGACCGTCGTGTGACCAGAGACTGTTACATGGAATGCGGGGCGCACCGCATCCTGGTGGGCGAATGAATCAGTCGCTCGGCTCACCTATGGAAAGAATCTTTGATGCCTCCACAGGTTCACCCCAATGCTTTAAAACAGGAAGCTCCGGGGACCGAAAAGAGAGTGTTTGGCACCATGAGGCATTCTGAGAACATCTCAGATGTTCCAAGGCACACAGCGTAGGAAGACATGTGGGCATGAATGTCGTCAGTTTGGTGGTCAGCTCTCTGTCTTTTCCTGCGGGATCGTCACCGATGTCGCAGGACCATGAGTATACTCAGCCATGGTGTTCCTGACTCACCTAGAACACCTGCCAGTTTTCACTGAAGCAAATCTTGTCTCCGACAGCTGTCATCAAAGCGTGTTCTGAAATGGCAATACCATCGTGGATGGAATCCTCAGGACGGAGCTTTCTGAAGCCAGCGCATGTGACAATCTCTCCTCTGTGCAGTGTCCCTGGGTTTCCACGGTAATTGCAGGGCTGGTCATTTGTTAAAATGATTTAGGCACAAATGTCAGAGGAGAATTCAGTGTCGCCAAATAAAAACGTCCTCTAAGCAGAGACTGATGAATATGCTGAGATCTGCTCCCAGCCATTCAGAACGAATCCCGAATGAATAATAAACCAGCCCATCAGTGACATCTACAGAGGGGAAGGACACCATCTAAGCCATCGAGACCTCTGATGCCAGTCCTGCTGCAGAGGGGGAGAAATGAACCAATTCTCACATTCTGTGGCCACCTGAGGGAACTCAGCCAGACCACAGATAGGTCACAAATACAACTGAACTATGGTGTCTTGTTTTAAGCAAGAGTCAAGTTTGTGGTGAAGAGCAGAAGCGTGCGTGCGTGCATGCGTGTATGTGTGCGTGTACACATATTGTATATGTGTGTGTACATGTACTTGCTTATATGTTTATATGTATTATTAATGTGTGCACATATGTATATATGTATCTATCTGTATGCAGGTACATTTGTATGTATGCATATGCTTAGTGTCTGTATGATTGTATAAATATGTGCGTATGTGTGTTAGCCAAGGAAGATTTTACAAGTAGTTTACAATGTTTCAGTCCAAACATAACTCCCAGAGGCAATGACAGAACTAGAACATCCAGGCAAAGAGGGGACCTCAAAGAAACCCTTAGCACAGTGTGCAAATCAGCTGCAGAAAAGAAATAGGTCTAGAACTCCCTAGGAGAATCTAAGGGGACAAAAGCAGCTCAGAATGTCAAGAACTGTGGCCTGGGGCTAGATGGACGGCTCAGTGGTTAAGAGCACTGGCATCTCTTGTAGAGGACCTGGGTTCATTTCCCAGCACCTACATTGGGTGCCTCATAACTGCCTGTAGCTCCTTGCCTGTGAGGGCATCTGAATGCATGTACACACACACACACACACACACACACACACACACACACAAATGAAAATACATTTTAAAAAGAAAAGAAGTGTTCCATACTAAGCAGGACAGAACTCTGGGACAAAGCTTGGCACACATGGGTCACAGCTCTCTTCTCTACCCTCTTATGGGTGACTGGGATGGCATTATTCTTCAAGCAATGCATGTGACCAAAGACAATACTCTTCCTGATTTTTACATACACAACATTTTACATAGTATTGGGCATTTTTTCCCTGGAATGGAAGACACAAAGTGACCTACCTAACTAAGATGGGAAAAGAGCTTGGTTGTCAGATTTAGCTCTATGTCACCGCTTTATCTTTCTACTATGTGAAAGAAAGGCAAACCTCTCCTTTTCTTCATCCATCAGGCAAGCCTATGCTGTAAAGGTGGATTTTAATTAATCAGGCCCAATCTTGACTATGTGATATACTCGGGAGGTCATAGGAGGACGGTTGGTTTGATTGATTTCTTTCTGCTATGAATTCTCCAGATGTTCTCCATGCATGGTTTCGAGATTACAGGCCTACATTCTGACTACATCCTTCCCTTTCCACACCTAGGAATAAGATGGAGAGTAGCTTTAAAGTAATGGATTGAGCAGTATCCCCTAGCATCACCGGTGAGCTCTGAAAATACCCTGGAGCCTGGACCACTCCCTCCCACGTTTACAAATCCGAGACTCTGGGGGCAGGGGTAGGAAAATGATCCCAGGCGATCCCAAGGCCTTTCCACTGTAGACAGAGTTGAAAGAAGCCCACAACTTCTCTCTCAAGACCAAGGTTTAAAGGAAATAGTTGTAGGTTTATGTTTTGGAGGAGAAAAACTTCATTTTTGTAGCATCAACTAAAAATTATTCCAAGGCTAACTCAAAGCCTTCTATGTCAGTAGGGGAGCCACATATGTTCCTTGCGGGCATTTCTGATCCAATGTGTGGCCAGCATCTACAACCTTGGCTTTCCTGGAGTGCTCCTGGGTAGCTGCCCCCCTCTAGGAATGTTCCACTCTCCCTCTTTGCTCTCCTCCTCCAATCCAGGGCATCCTCCCAGTCAGCATCATTTCTTCTGCGAAAACACTGGTGACATTAGCTGCCTCTCTTCCCGAGAATCCCTTGGGCTAGTCAGAGGCATATAATTTAACACTTAATTGTTTTCTAATTGCTTCCGATCTGTTCTGTTCCCTCACCCTATTATCAGCCGCTCAAGGGTGGGGACCACGGCTTCCTCACAGTGTCTTTAATAAGGCTTGTTCCCTGCCTGAATCACCATCGTGGCCCCCGAGGCCCAGCCTGGCATGAAATCGGCTCTCCACGAATATTAGTTGAATTAATGAATTTGTTGACAGAGCAGGCATTGGAGAGTTTGATCAGAAAATCGCATCCAGAAACAAATGACCAGCTCCCTTCTGCTGCACTTGTACAACATTTCGTAGTCAGGAGCTAAGCTCCTTCTGCACTACTCTGGGAAGTTGCTTTATTGACGTATTAAATGTGAATTTCCAAAGAAGGAAAATCAGTTTTTGAGAATGGAGCTGATTTTCCAGGCCTTAGACACTGACAGACAGGACAGAGATCACTCGGGTAATAGCCACAGCCTAGAGAGATTTAGGGCGACAAACCTTGGCCTACCTGTGACTGGGTTCTGTAATCTTGTTTTAAGCAGCCCAGTTTGTAAGCCAGAGCCAGAAACAAGGTAGTTTTCTCTCCTTCCACCACCCAGGGCCTTCCTCTCCTCATTTTCAGAGTGATAAGACCCTCTACAAACTGGGCATTGTTGCTTCCTTAAATGTTGGATCGTGTACATACATGCGCACACACGAACATATATGAGATGAGGTCTTGCTACACATCCCAGGCTTGCCTTAAACTTGCAATCCTGAGTGTTGGGATTACAGATGTGAGCTACCACCTCGCCCAGATATTTGGATGCTCTTCCCATGGTAATGAGAACCAGATATGGCCATGCTTTGTCTATCGGTCTCTTTTGGTATCTTCTCTCTTCATGGAAGAATCTAGAACCCAGATTTTGAGACCTCCCTCTAGGCCCTTGATCTGCGTGTATCCAGAACTTGGCAATTCAGTCCCAAGGAGCGCCAGTGTTCATTCTGCAGAAGCGAATCCTTCTGTGCTCACGGTGACTTTGGTAGCAGGTCTGTCTGTCCTTCCGTGGTCACTCTCTTCTGTGCACACTCTGCGGGCAGCAGCAGGCACACCACCCTAAGCCTGCGCTGCTCTTGTGAGAGCTCGGCTTCAGTGGCTCTCACCGGTGGTAATTATCCCGTGAACTGACGACGGGAGACACAGCCTGCGCAGATTTCAACGGCTAAGTAATTAGGGCTGGAGAGGTTCCACAGACCATTAGTGTTGCCTTGGGAAGCGGGCTTTTACAAACAACGTGGCGGGTACTTCATCTGAGGTCTTGTATCTTTTCAGGTAGAAATGGATCTCAGAGAAAGAGTGAAAGGGGCTGAGATGTGACTAAGAAATGAGAGAGGTAAACAAGTTCAAGTACGGGTGAGGAGGAGAGGCAGAGGGCAATGGAGGTTTCCTAGTTACTATTGCCGTGATGAAACCCCATGACCAAGCGGGGGAGGAAAGGGCTTCTCTGGCTTGTACTTCCACACTGTAGTCCATCCTTGAAGGAATCAGGGCAGGAACTCAAAGAGGGCAGGAACCGGAAGGCAGGAGCTGATGCAGAGGCCAGGGAGAGGTGCTGCTTACTGGCTTGCTCCTCATGGCTTGTTCAACCTACCTTCTTATAGAAGTCAGGACCACTAGCCAGGGATGGCACCAACCCACAATGGCCTGGGCCCTTTCCCATCAATCACCAATTAAGCAAATGCCCTCCATGCTTGCCCCAGCCCATCTTAGGGAGGTGTTTCCTAAGTGGAGGCTCCCTCCTCTCAGACTTCTCTAGCTTTGACAAGCTGGCACAAAACCATCCTTCATGGAGGGCACTAAAGGGTGGACCTGAGTTGCTAGCCCAGCCTATAGGAACACAGGTCTGGGGCCTGTCACCCAGGGAGTCTGTTTAATTGACCCGTGGGACTCTTGTGCTTTGGATAGGCAGTGTACCCCAAAAGTCTCTATGTTAGCCACCCGAAACCAGCTGGTAGCATTATTTAAAAGTGATTGAACCAGATGTGGTGGCGCACGCCCTTAACCCCAGCACTCAGGGGGCAGAGGCAGGCAGATCTCAGTGAG